AGGGGGTACTAGGGATAAGTATTTAGGGATAAGTATTAGCATTGACATCATCTTTGGAGATTTGATGGACTCTATTAGCACCTGACTTGTCCTTCCTTCCAAATTTTGCAACTTTACTTTGGTTTCGGCAAGCTTTTAGTAGATGCCCAACCATGTTGCACCCATTGCACTTATAATTTGCATATGGACATTCATTGGCCTTATGTTCAACTGAACAACATCTGTAACACTTAAATTTAGCATTAATATTAGTCATACCAGCACCAATAGCTGAATTGAAATGACTACCAGTCTGCCTATTTTGATTCACATGTGAAGAATTGGGCTTGGAATTTAAATGACAAATTTCCTGTTTTGGATTGAACAAACTTGTCTGTTTTTCAGCCTGCTCTAATCTGTGTGCCAAACTATAAGCTTCATCAAATTCTTGATCCTCAGACAATAATTTTTGCCTTATGACCTTATTACTTATTCCTGAAATAAGCTTGTCTCTAAGAGCCTCTTTTAAGAATGTGCCAAATTTACATGAACTAGCTAAATGTTTAATCGCTACAACAAACTCTGAAATACTCTCACTAGGTTTTTGCACACGAGAATAAAAATTGTATCTCTCAGCTACCACCAATTTCTTTGGAGAAAAATAGTTCTCAAGCACTTTAACTAACTCTTCATAACTTTTGCTATCTACAGCTGCAGGTGAAACTAAATCAGACAAAATTGTTAAAACTTTTGGGCCTACAACAGTTATTAAAACAGAAACTTTAGTATCGTCATCAATCTCATTAGCTTTGAAATAATGCTTAAGCCTCATTGCATATGATTCAATGGACTCATCTTGTGGGTTAAATTCACCAATCTTACCTATCCCTAACATCTTAGTCTTTAAGTTTACCTCCTTTTTTTTTTGAAGTTTAGATTTATCTTCTTCAGAATCTGGTATATAAAAAAAAAACTTTACTTTTACTAGACTTACTATCACTCGGAACGAGGTCCGTTTAATTTGACTGCGCCATTGTAATATTTTATAAGAACAAGATAAAATCTAGTGTATTCAATTTATTCTCCATTTCAATCACAACTCAATTATTATTGTTATTTACAAAATTAACAATCAGAACAAAACAAAAGTCTTTAACATCTGGAATGCAACCAACATTATAAAATCAAATGCTGCTTCTTGTACAATTAATATAAACATATATTACATATACATTTATTTATTTTCCTTCTCTGGACAGACAAATTTGTGCTACAGATTTTTCATAAATAATTTTGGAGATAAAATACTCCGAATTTAGGGGGCAGAATCCCGAATTTATACCCTTATGACCCTAGGAGGCAGAAGCCCCCCGAGAGGACCTGCCCCTTAGGGGGAGTGGGCCATTTCCAAAATCCTCGACATTCTTAGTTAATGAATGAGTCCAGAGTTTAGTCTACGATCTTCAACTGGACCACTCACTAACTAGGGGATGATAGCTTAGAATGATTTAATTGTATGATAAACTTAGTAAAATCCTTTACAGTGTGCTGCTGAGGTGTTTAGGTTTGGTTGGATTAGTTCAGTTTAGTAAAAAAAAAACTCAAGAAAAAAGAATATAAGTTAGTACGAATACAAATTGAAGTCTTTATAAATGTATCTTTTTAACAAATTACACTATAGCCTATAATAAAGTTTAGTTTTATAATATTTTCCTTGTTTCATGTTTATAGTCTAGAACTGTGCTGAACTGAATTAAAAACTACGGGGCTAGATAGAATATATATTTATATATCTATTCATGTTCTATAGCAGGGGTATCCAACCTACGGCCCGTGGGCCCCATTGAGCCCTCAAAGGCCTACTGGGAAATAATTATTTTATATAGGCCCTACTTGTTATCGTCAAAGTTGCGGCAACACCCGAAAGTATATGTTGCGGTCTCAGTGATAACGTGATGGTCTCCTGAGATCGTGACTGCACCGTGAACATCTCTTGTAGCCTATCAGTAAAACTTCTGTGGTGATCTTCAAAGATCGAGATTTATTTATATGATGTTAAAAGAGAACCAAGGGAACGCCATCAATAAATCTAGAGGTATTGCCTATAGGTGATCATTGTAGTCCTTGGCCCATTCCAAATTCAAGTACAATTCTCGGTGCCCAGGTTGGACGAATACCCAGATCTTTTTAAATATGTGTCCTAAGGACCACAACATCAAACTTTAACCCTGATTTGAATGACCTTAAAGGGCAAATACAAAATCCTCCCTTAAATTGCAAAAATGTCAGCTTTACACTCCTTGTAAACTCATTTTCAATATTCTTAACGTCCTTACAATGAAATGTTCATCAAGTAAACTTGGTAGTATATCAAAAATATTTGCTGTTGTGTTCTCCTGTGTTTTCATAAGTCCTACCTCAGAATAATAATACATCTGAGGTCCTACTTAAAAACTTAGGAAAAAAACTAATATCATGGTAATTAATTATACTGTAACATTAATTTATATTAACTTTATTATGAATTCGAATGACACACACAGTTTATATACCCATTAATAATTATGTGAGGAAGGTAATTATTCTGTTTGGTCACAGTACCCTTTGCACAAAAACGTACAGAATTTTAGTTAGTCAAAAGGTTATATAGCAACAAAAAATTTGGCTACCTTTCTACACTGGAAATGTTGCCTTTCCTCCAAAAATTATTTAATGTGGCTCTTGAGTAAAAAGAAAAAGGGTAGGAGACCCCTGTTCTATAGTCCCAAACTAACCTAAACCTATCCAAACCACCGCAGCACAATGTGAAAACAGTGTGTGATCAGTATTTTTGAAAAACATACAATCGACATTAATATCTCGGGAGTGTTGCTGAAGGTCTAAGTCCCGGGAAGGTCTAATTAGACCTTCGACACACATTTTGCAGTTTGTACTTGTTGCTGAGGGTATAATCTGGCAGTATAACGAAGGTCTAAGTCTCGGAAGGTCTAAGAGTACAGTCAATGCAAAAAGCTCATCCACTGATACTGTTTTAGACCTTGCGGGATTAGACCTTGGGCACACAATGTATATTTTCAAAATAAATGTTTATAAAATGAGAGTTGCTGAAGGTCTAATTCCCGGAAGGTCTAAGATTCGAGTCCCGGAAGGTCTAAGATTCGAGTGCCGGAAGGTCTAAGATTCGAGTCCCGGAAGGTCTAAGATTCGAGTCCTGGAAGGTCTAAGATTCGAGTGCCGGAAGGTCTAAGATTCGAGTCCCGGAAGGTCTAAGATTCGAGTCCCGGAAGGTCTAAGGTGCGGGCGGGCATTGCGTCGCCAGAGATGAAGGCTATACAGACAGGCAATAACGCAACAACTTTTAGAGTTGCAATATTCTTAGTGATAGTTTTAATAACTCTCACGTCTATTTTTTTGCTAGCTCGTTATTACAAGTACGATGGAGATATAAAAAATCTTCATTTATATTATATCATTAACTATTGGGTACTTTAATTTTTGTTACTGGCATAGTTGCTGGGCCATAACAGTTGCTATAGCTCAGAATAAATCATTACATCAGTTTAAATTGGTAATAAAAAACCATCTTGCAATCGGCAGAAATAAGTTAAATAAGTTCGGCAGAAATAAGTTAATGTTGGTGTTAAAATAACATTGTTAGTTTCCTTGGTGTTCAGGATTCTGTTTTGATTATTTCAGCTTAACTAAGCCAATAAATAGTTTCATCCATTGACTTTATACCACATATATAGTCAATGTTTAATCTTACTAATATTATAAATCTAAAAGTTTGTGAATTTTTTCGTGCGTGCGTATAAGGCTGGTTCCAAGGCGATGTGATTTTCCACCGTGGGTCCGAGGTCCCCGCTGGTTTCGAGGTCCTGGTGCAGGACCTTGGATCCAAATACAACCGAAAACGTGTTCCGATGCCAGAGAATAATTTTAATATCAATATTAAGTGATTTTGAGTGAGACCTTGGAACCTTAATGGAAAGTTTAAAACTTCTTCACGGAATTTCCGATAGGAACGTAGCGATAGTTTTTACTTGTACACAGTGTGACATGTGACATAAAATGACATTCTCCGCGAAAACCGATGTCCGTGTCCGTTTCCCTCACATATAATGTATACACTATACACCCTCTGATACACCCTTCAACTGGAAACAGAGGCTGTTAATGTGTGACGGACGATTACTGAAGTACTGAAGTTCAAGTTAGGGAGAATTAACCAGCAAGAGCTTCGGACTGCTCACTCTAAAAATTTCTTTTTGGAGTGAATAAATCATCTCGATAATTACGACTCTAAAAGTTGTTGCGTTATTGCCTGCTAGTATAGCCTTCATCTATGGCGACGCAATGCCCGCCCGCATCTTAGACCTTCCGGGACTCAAATCTTAGACCTTCCGGGACTCGAATCTTAGACCTTCCGGGAATAGAACCTTAGACCTTCCGGGACTCAAATCTTAGACATTCTGGGACTCGAATCTTAAACCTTCCGGGAATCGAATCTTAGACCTTCCGGGATTCAAATCTTAGACCTTCCGGGACTCGAATCTTAGACCTTCCGGGAATTAGACCTTCAGCAACTCTCATTTTATAAACATTTATTTAAAAAATATTCATTGTGTGCCCAAGGTCTAATCCGGCAAGGTCTAAAACAGTATCAGTGGATGGTTTTTTTGCATTGACTGTACTCTTAGACCTTCCGAGACTTAGACCTTCGACATACTACCAGATTAGACCCTCAGCAACAAGTACAAACTGCAAAATGTGTGTCGAAGGTCTAATTAGACCTTCCGGGAATTAGACCTTCAACAACTGATACAATATCTAGTGAAAACTATATCGGGTACGATATAAATATCAAACTCAAATTTCATCCGATAATATCTTGTACCGGTAGGTTCTCTGCAGAACTGAACCCGGAGAATTTAGTCTACACTGCCAATGAAATCCAAAAAATATAGACTAGCTTATAGAAAGTTCCAAGTCACCTAAAATAAAGTTGTTGTTTCACTTACAGTAAACATATGTTTCGGAAGCCTTAGTTGTTCATAGAGAGGTATACATTGAAGACTGTGACTAAGCTGCTTCATATTGAGAGCGAAGTAGCCACCAAGCTGTTCATTAGAAGCAGACGACCACTCTCGTTCATCCTTCAGCTGCAAGTGCCCCCCTTCTGGGAAAAGAGCCTAATTTTATCAACAAAATTAGATTAAGGAGAAATAGCACAAGGGTCTAGGTTTGAAGGATTTCACTGATTTCAGAGATCTGAATCTGGTGACGGATATATCCGCCTAAGTCTTTGAAGATACAGGACGGGTGGCGGATACATCCGCTTATGGTTTTTGATTTTCAGGACGGGAAGCGGATATATCCTTCTCTTCAGACAGACTGGCAGGTTCTTGAGCAGTAACCAGACATTTCACGGTAACAAGGCACCACATTCCTTCTCATTCCATGACTGCGCTCTCTCCCCCACTCCCACCTCTCTCCTGCGCCTACCTTTTTTCCGTGCACCATCAAACCTCTCCAAGGTTTCGCGCTCAACACTACGTTATCTTTATTTATTGTTTACATATTGTTTTTTATTTATTGCCTAACATTGTCATGGTCATATCTTCAAAGACGGGTGGCGGATATATCCGCATAATTAAAAACGAGTAAAACATTATTTTGACAGTATGAAGTGTTCCATCGTTTTTATTTTATATATACTTGTATAACAAAACACAAATATCTTTATTTATTGTTATCTTTATTTATTGTTTACATTTTGTTTTTTATTTATTGCCTAACATTGTCATGGTCATATCTTCAAAGACGGGTGGCGGATATATCCGCATAATTAAAAACGAGTAAAACATTATTTTGACAGTATGAAGTGTTCCATCGTTTTTATTTTATATATACTTGTATAACAAAACACAAATAAGGAAAATTAATTTTAATTTTTTCCTATAATTTTTTTCTTATTCTATGTCACGATTTCACAGGTCCGGGAAGGGTTAATGTTAATAGTCGCCAATAGGGGATAGGCGGGACCAGAGTTTAATTTGGGATGGGGTGTTGAGGCAATTGTTATTTTTTTAATTTCTAAAATTTCTAGGAAAATTTATGAAGTTATATGATAAAAGAAAAATCAAAACCTAACAAAATGATATAGGCCTATAGGAGTTCTAACTTATTTCTTATTTGGTAACTACGTCAAATCCTTAAGCTGTATAATGGCTGATATAAAGACACAACAAGTAACAAGTTAAATTTTATTTAAACTATCCATGCAAGAACTAATCACAGATTTTGTAGGGAAAGTATAAAATAGCTAAATAGGATATAATATTTCATACTTACTTGAAGACGGCACTTGAATCAGAGCTGAGAAATCTGCTGGCCCTTCTTCTTCCTCCTTGCCGTCATCTTCTGGTCCTTGTGGAGCAGAGTATCGATGCCAGTTGCTGGAGATGTTTCGTTTTGCAAACTTCTTGGTTAGTTTTGCAATCTCTTCTGTTTCTCTCTTCAAGTTGCTGAAGTCAATAGTAACGTTTTCTTTCTCTGCTGGCACCTTACCATCTGAAATTTGTGCACAGTATGAAGCTACTGGTAATGGTCAAACAGGGTTGATCATGCTGCGGATTAACTATGCTCCAGATTAACCAGGATCGCATAAAACCAAAATACAAAAAATATAAAAATATAATTAATAGGTGGCCCATTATCTCAAGGACAAACTATAGAGCTGATGTTGTTTACTTCTCCGATCACCGATGATTCAGAGATCAGGCCACAACCGATGAGTTGATAAGTTTATTTATTTATTTTTTTTTTTTTTTACGGCAAAATCGCCATTTGTACTATCAATTACATGCATAACAATTTGTGGATCAATACTATTAACATGCTGTAAGTTACATCTTGTATGTTTTAATTTGTGTTACTTACTACTAGGCCTACACAAAGGCTCTCCAATATTGTTTCATTTGTAAATAGAAGTTGTGAAATGAAAGTTTAAGGGTATCAATACTGCATTTGATATATGTTCAATTATTATCTAGTACTTGAGTTTAACCATACATTGTGTTAGTTACTTCACAAGCATTTTAGGTTGTAGTGGTTAAAATTGGGGGTGTGTTTGGGTTAGTACCCAATTGTGGGAAACTGTAGGACATATAGAGAATGATGGAGGGAACATTGGGCTAATGCTGATGTGTTGAGAATTTCAATATCTGGACCAAATTTAAGCGTGCTCAATCTGCTACCAATAATTTTGTTTAAATAGAAGATTACTGGGGACCAGAAAGATGGAGATCTTTTACCCAAACAAGAATACTCTTGACTTTGATTTATGTTAATTAAACCAATTTACTTCAACTATCCTAATGCTTAATCGGGTGCTACAATAAATGATTTAGAGAATATCATTTGGAATTGAAGTAACTGAATCGGAGATCTAGGATTCAACTTAGAAAATTGTGGAGATCATTCTGGGGAAATGTGGTTATTTTCATGATGAGGCCAGCTTGATGCCAAGGGCACCGAAACTTCCAATTACTAATTTCTACATTTCTGGTATTGGGGTTACCCTTGTAGGTTCCCCCCTAAATTGGCTAACTTAGCCGGACATCTTAATAAAATAACACTAATATGACTATATAACTATTCATAAAACTACCGAGGATCGGAGACAGAAGCCAGGTAGCCTAATATAAACCTTATTAGTGCTAATTTTAACGATCCAGAGGCCAACCATCATGAAATATGACTATATAACTTAAATACAGAACCTATACATAGCTGCCCAAAGGAGATCTTGATTTCGATGTAGACAGGTTGGTGACGGTAGGTGAAGTAGAACCAGTGATGGTGAAGGAGGTGGAGGGAAGAGTTTCCTCAGTCGCGGCAAATTGCGAGTTATACATGCAGCCCGGCTTCACAAACTGGTGTAGCCTACACTACCTATATAAAATAGCGTGCCGCCATGTGTCACAGTTAGAATTGCATTATCCTTATTCACTTAGCCACTCATTATCGTGGATAATTGAGAGTTTACTGTAGCTTTCTTACAGAACCGAGGGTGAAAGAGGCCAACAACCATGACAATCTGTTTACGTTTTCAGATCCAATCTGCGCCCTCTGAAGTGTTCCAAAAATTGCCAAACCAGATGTCAGATGTTAGAAGAGTGATTATTTGTCAAACCCCAGTACACTGAAATATATATTACAGCCGCCAAAAAGAAGGGATTTGTCAGGATTAAAAAAAAAAAAAAAAATACCGGTAGTGTTTTGAATCATATAAGATTGTAATCAATGGATGCAAGAACTTGGTTACCGGTACAAAATTCTACTTACTATTGCACTAAATCCAAAAACTAACAGCTTAGAGAGGCTGAAACTCTTGACAAATAGGATTACTAATGCTATGAATTTCCCCGAGGTAAATTGTCAGCTGCCCATAAACAGAATACTTTACAGCACTAATAGGGTTAGCTTCAACATTTTGTTAGGTTGAATGAATGAATGAATGAATGAATGAATAAATGAATGAATAAATGAATGAATGAATGAATGAATGAATGAATTATCTCTTTATTCCAACAAATCATTTACAAAATATGTACACAAATATTTAAAGGGAAAAAAAACATAAGTCAATTTAAAAGAATAAAATAAAATAAACATTTACATTACATCTATGTTTAAAAAAAAGCGTACATATGTTAATAAGGAATAAGCTGACATGGGCAGCGAGCCTGTGCGTCGACTGTAGTTGCGTCCAAACATAACATTGTTTATCCAATGCAATAAATAAATAAATGACAGGAAATATGATGAGGTGAAAATATGATGTAGATGGAGATACAAGAAAAAAAAAATTGTGAGATGAATGGCTATGTGAAAAAAGTTTGGTGGCATAACTAAGTTTAATAAAAATAAATGAACGGTTAGTCAAGAGGATGGTTGTGCTACAAACTAACAGAGCGGGCTGTGTATTTAGGCATTCTATCCCCAAAACAAAATGATAAAATAAAATACATACCTGTACCTGTGAAAGGGGCTACAGTCACTACGTTATTGGTTGGAGGGGCTACTACTTCATTCCGTTGACGTCTATTACTCCTCTGAGGTTGTGGGTCAGTAACACTACCAGCAGTAGCAACAGAACTGACTGACTCACTCGGCTCTTCCTGACGTTTTCTCCTGTCTCTCTGATTTTTCCCCCTAGGTAAACAAAATTTGAATGAGTGATGAGATAAGCCTAAGTTACTACAATGTTGATTTTGGTCTACATTTGGGACGGGTGATACAGCAACCTTAGGTGTGAAAAAGAGAATGTGAAGTGTTTCTCACTATGCTGCACTAAGGTAGGCTATTAGCCGTTATAATAGGATAGGGTAGAATAAGGTATAGGACCGTTATAATAAAGATGTTTTTTTAAAAGGTTGTGTGTAGATTGCCTTGGATAAAATAAACGGAGCAATTCAGTTTTGTTGAGGTTGAGATTTAATAAATTGGAGTCAAACCACTGCTTTATTATGTTACTTTTTTTTTAAGAGGTTGGCGGCCTCTATTAACCTTGCATTTGCCCGTCCACATAGACTACAAATCTGTGCGTGGTACGTATCCAGCAAAGCAAGGGGTGAGCCGGTACAGTACAAAGGTGAACTGTACTGATAAAAGTTAGTGGCAGTGACCAGGATCCGAACCCACGACACTACTGCCTTGGGCCCAAAGTCCGCGACGCTACCGACTGAGCCACTGACTCACATCAATATGTACTTGCTTCAATGAATTATTTTAATTCCAATTCCTCGGAAGTTGAGCCAGACAGGGCCAAAGATGTGTCATCCGCAAAAAGACAGATTTCTCCAGCCTCAAAACTTGAAGGTAGTTCATTGATATAAATCAGAAACAGCACATGTCTCCAAGGACAGATCCCTGGGGAAACCCACAAGTGATTTAAATGTCCCGAGAGGAGACAAAGGTTGAAGGAAGGAAAAACACATTCACTTACATAAGAGACGCACACTATGCCGTCGTAAAATATCGCCCGTTTATTATGTTTGAAACGGACAAGTTTATTGAATGTGTCCATGATCAACCTGCACGTTGGGGTAATAAGGTAGGCCTATTCAGATAAGAATAAGAGAAACATTTTCAGGTGGAGAAACGATATTATAGAAGTGACTGGGTTGGAGATTGAAATAATAGTGAAGGATGATAGAATAAGTAGGCCTACCGTAACATGCCTATAAATATCCACAATTCTTTTAATAAAAAAATCCCAGGCCTTTGTGATTGGTCAACTGGTGTGAGAAGTTAGCCTCCTTACTAGATTTAAAACCTAAGCCCTAGTCTGGTGTGATTGTAGCAGCACTGGTCACGTTCAATAGACTGGCATGGTTGCTCTGTTGGCTAAGGCCGCGTTTACACCAAAGTTAACAACAAAAAATGACAACCAAAAGAGTATACAACCAAAAGTTTACAACTAAAAGTTTACAATTAAATGTTGCTCCTCGCACTAATTTAGAGCAACTAGGCTAGTGGAAAATTTGTTGCCAAAGAATTGGCACAAAATGAGTCAGTACAGATAGGGCCTACACAGTAGTGTCAAGGATGTCGTCAGACAAAGAAGGCGCAATCTATAGGCTACCGCGGCTGCTTGTGTCATTATAGCCAGCCACTATACAAGAAGTCTGTGACGATATTGGGTGAGACCCTCTTTGATGGCTAGGGATAGGTACAGTGGCAGTGACATCCGGCTGATCTCCGAGAAGATGACGTCGATCCGTTGAGTGGTGAGCTGAGGTGCAACGGGAGCTTAAAAAAACTTCCTGAGAATGTATTGATTTCGAATAGGCCTATTTAATTTCCATGACTGGACATGACATCTATCATCGGGTGGGGGGTTCATTTCTCCACAAGCTGCTTGCGCAAAGCGTGTAGCAACTAGTCTTCCAATTTTTGTTGTAACTTAAAACTTTCTTTACCGACTCTCCGTGGGAAACCAAAATTTAGCGGAAAACTTGCCTCTCCGCTAGTTGACGGCAGAGTAATTGGCTGCATTTTGTAGAAAAAGCAACAAGTTTCCGCAACTAGTGGAAAACCTGTGTCAACTTTGGTGTAAACGCGGATTAAGGTTAAGAAACGACGAGTGTCGATTGTAAGGTTATTGTTGAGGTCTTTCTACATTCGCAGGTGAATCCCGTAAGTTACATGTACAATCCATAACCTAGCCCTTACTTAATAATAGCCTACGTGGCTTTACCCTAGTCAGTCTGGAGGGCCCAATAAAATGGTGTTCGGCTTGGATTACTGAGTTAATAAGGATTGAACCCGACACCTTTATTCTGGTTGAATATGGACATATTGTGTTGAAAAACATAGGCCCTCAGTTTTAAGTTAGGCTACCTTACGATAAGTCATAAAAGGACATAGGCCTACTTTTGCCTAGCTTAGCCCAGGCTACAAAGAATTTTGCATGGTCAAAGCTTTGGGCTGGGAACAGGCCTAGTCCTGTTCCTAAAAATTTAGTTAAAATTATAAGCATTTTAATACAGCCTAGATCTAGTCTAAAAATTCCTTAGGCCTAGGCCTAACTTAGCCTAGTTCAAAATTGTTTATGACCTACCTTTGTTTTTTTCCTGAACTAACGGCAGTTTCATCCATTATGGTTCAAGATTTAGTCTAATTTATCTTGTCATGTGCCAAAGAGCCAACATCCAATATCATATTCGTTAATAGTGTCGGTTCTGTTTACAAAAAGCTCTAACCCTTAAGTTATACCAGACCAGTTAGAGAGAGGTTAGAGGTTAGAGGAACTAAAAAAGTAAAGATAAAGATCAAGTTCCAGTTCCCCAGTCCGTATCAGCTGACAGCTGTTACCTCTAGCTCTGTTTTTTTAACATTACACTACACACTTTGTTTATAGTTAGTTGTCGGTTGGACACAACTTATAAAGCATAAAGCTGTCTGGTGAAATCTAGCAGAAAGCACAGCGGAGCTTCATTTCCTTATCCAGATCCTACGGAGGCGTTGGTTATAGCATTGAATGTTATAAGAAGCAAGTATCTGACCATCGATGCATCTTCCGACAAAATATAATTTACGGGATTTGTAATCAATGGATTCACCATGTTTTGTAAAAAGTATCCCCATACTACGCAAATATTTGTCTAATTTGATTTAATTTTTTTTTTTTTTAATACCTTAGGTACCAATATTTATTTCCTAGCATTAGATTTAACGATAATTATTTAGGCTTACTACTACCGGGAAGATAGGGAAGGCTAGAAAATATGTACTGTCTACAACTGCTAGAGTACTAGGTTTACAATGCAACTGTCTGATTATTAATGATTATTATTATTATTGCTTGCAATATTGAGCGGAGCTAGCATTAAACCAATAGTACTGTACTTTTATATAAAGTCCATTTGCTACATATCTGTTTCTCGTAAATGAGATTAAATACTTGCAGTTTCAGTTTCCAATGTCAATATGGTTTACAATGCAGTTGTCATCTGCTTGAAATATTGGGAGGAGTTATGATTGATGATTATGCAAGGAACGGTAAGAATCTCAAGGTTTTTGAAAGTTTCCTAACAAGATTCCCCAAAGCTCAGTCCCACCATACACCTCAAAGCTTTCTGTTAAAGGACTAGAATTTTATTTATGTTTGTTTTAGTAGTGTGTATCCCTATATTTACTTTTGGTCAAAGTTGATTCAACTGCATTACAAAATATTTAGTCCTAAATAAAGTTAGGGTCATTTCAAGGATCATTCAATTGTTACGTACTTTCTGTTTCAGATTAGCTAGATTGACCTTAGAAACTGAAGAAGTTTTTAAAACTATATATTGGCCATTGTATTCTTGTTTATGAAATCTTCTTTTTTATATAAGCTAAGGAGAAGTATCCTAAGGAGATAATCCTAAGGAGGAAATCCTAAGGATGGGGTATCCAAAGGAGGTTATCGTTAAGGAGGGATACCCTTAAGAAGGACAACCTTAAGGAGAGATACCCTTAAGAAGGGCATTCCTTAAGGACAGGTATCCTTAAGGAGGGTTATCCTTAATAAGAGATATCCTTAATAAGGGATATCCTTAAGGAGGGGCATCCTTAAGTAGGGGTATCCTTAATGATTTCATTCTTAAGGAGGGAATCCTTAAGGAGGGCATCCTAAAGGAAGGTGTCCTTGAGGAGGGCATCATTAAGCAGGAGTATCCTACAGGAGGTACTCCTTAATAAGGGGTACCCTTAAGGAGAATTTCCAAAGGAGAGGTATCCAAAGGAGGACCTTAAGGAGGGATTCTCTTAAGGAGGGATACTCTTAAGGAGGTCATCCTTAAGGAGAGGTATCCTTAAGGAGGGTATCAAATGGAGGGGTACCCGAATCTTAAGGATGCCCTCCTTAGGATATCCTACTTAAGAATACCCATCTTTAAGGATACATCTATAAAGGATACCGCTCCTTAGGATATTCTCCTTAGGATACCCTCTTTAGGATACCTCTCCTTAGCTTTTATAAAATAGAAGAGTACAGAAACAAGAATAAGATGGCTCATAAACTTTTAAAGTCTACTTCAGTTTCTAAGGTCAATCTAGCTAATCTGAAACTGAAATATTACGTATTGATTGAATGATCCCTGAAATAACCCAAACTTACTTTTGACTTAATATTTTTAATGCAGTGGAAAACAACTTTGGCCAAAAGTGTGTAGTTTTCTAAAACTGATTTAAAAGGAAATTACAAATCTATAGTTAGGTTTATTATGGTGTCCTAAGTAAAAAGAATTAAAATTGGTGCTGTGCCGTTCAGTAGTTAGGGTAATACGGTACTTAACTTCAAAATTGTTTTAAAACGTTTTGACCCACCCTGTAAATACGGTTAAAGATAACTGACTTTTTCTTGCACCAAATTGATCGGGTTATTAGACCTTTAATTTGATGTATTACACAACCTTAAGGAGGATATCCTTAATTAGGGGTATCCTTAAGGAGGGGTATCCTTAAGGAGAGTATCTTTAAGGAGGGTATCCTTAAGGAGAGTATCTTTAAGGAGGATATCCTTAAGGAGAGTATCTTTAAGGAGGGTATCCTTAAGGAGAGGTATCCTTAAGGAGGTTATCATTAAGGAGGGGTATCCTTAAGGAGGTCATCATTAAGGAGGGGTACCCCTAAGGAGGATACCCTTAGGGAGGATACCCTTAGGGAGGGGTATCCTTAATTAGGGGTATCCTTAAGGAATGTATTCTAAATGTGGGATATCCTTGAGGAGGTCATCCTTAAGGAGAGGTATCCTTAAGGAGGTCATCGTTAAGAAGGGGTATACTTAAGGAGATCATACTTAAGGAGGGGTATCCTTAATTAGGGCTATCCTTAAGGAGAGATATCCTTAAGGAGTGTACCCTTAAAGAGGGGTATCCTTAAGGAGGGCTTGAGGAGGGTAACATATCGCATGCACTAAAACCTGTCAAGATCTATTATATACTAGGGGAAACCCGTCGAAATCGACGGTTACTTTCAAAGTTTACGTTAATTCATCTAACTGCGATGAATTGGGTGAAATATACATATTTTGAGCATTTAACATTGTTCAAAGAGTAATAAGTGTAAAAACAATAACAATATTGCGTTAGTTGCCAAATTTGGTTGTTCATTCAATGATTAAAATATTTCCTATCCTGTACGTCATCGGAGTTATTATTAGTATGTTATATGGTATCTCTTCCTTTGGTAGAACCTTTAAATAGTATTTAAATCGTATTGGTGGATCTTGTAGTTAAACACTTCCGCGACTTCATCATTTTTTGAGAAAAAATATATGTTTGTTGAGAAGACACGTTCTAACTTCAAAGGGAGGTATATCCGTTACAGTGTAAGTTTGATTTTCCTTCGTCACGTCGCGTCAGTTCATATCGTACTTCTGCGCCAATGAATGAACCCTCTAGCATAGTTTTGAGAAATTGACTATGGGGTTACTGATAAAGCTGGAATTCCTTGACATGGGGGATGTCAGTTAGTTGTCTCGGCCTTATCAAAAACATAAAGTTGTCAATATAATCTCTCTACGGAATGTTAGGTGTCGTGGAATACATGAAGTAAAGTTGGCTTTTATTCTTGAACTGTTAGGGGCCTCCTAGTTCATATGATCTTGGCGGCTTCATTGGCAATAAATAATGCAAATGACATAGCAATGAGACATTTCCAAAAAGCAAAAATACTGTAAAATGGCTGTTACGTATATATTGACGTTTACATATTGTTAATCAACGTATATGATAAATACTTTAATAAGTTTTTTTTATGGCGACCATTCATAGTAGGTAAGCCAAGTATGAATGGAGATGAGTGTAGAATGAGTGGCGCGATCTTGAAGTCTTGTTAGTGACTAAGGCCGACATTCCTTAGATACAGCTGTTAATTAATAGCCCATACAGCGAATGGCAACCAAGGGACCTACAGTTTATAGTTGAATTGGAACCAATTTTTTTTTTTTTGCATTGGTATTTATGAATTGGTATAATTATCAGGATAGCACTGCGGGTAGTCGTAGTACTCACTCGTGCGGACGTTAATCCACACCAGGGAGTATCGCATCCACAGTGCATTCCTATAAATATCCACAATTCGTGACCTCCTAGTAGCTGGATTACAGGACGACGCCACCCGTCCCAGTCAAAGGATTATGTGATCTAATTTAAAAGGAATATGACCTTTCTGTCATGACAGTAGTTGCTTAAATAGTATTTTCTCTTTGTACCATATTTTACAGCCAAAATGTCGTGTTATTTTCAATAATGTTACTAATTCAGTGTGCCAAAGTCCGTATTATAGGCAGGGGCAAATAATTTGTCAAGATAGGTACCATTTGAGGCAATGTTTCTAAGTTTGGATTTTATTAGCCACAATAAGAGCAGATATTTCTACATAAATATTTGATATTTTGTAGAATAATATGATAAAATGTAGGCAAAAGTGGCGAAAAAGGCACACACCAACCCGTACAATAGATATAAGATAGTTCAATAAGAAACAATTTAAGAATTGCTGTGATAAAAGGATTTTCCACTGATTTCGTAATGGAACGTTATATTGCAAAACATGGCATGATAAAGAAGAAAATCAATTTTATAATCAGAAAATAACATTGCAAATACTTATTTGGTAGAATTCAACTCCCAATAAATATGTGTTGTTTGAAATACAATTTAAAAATGAACAGCTGTTTCATTAAATAGTATTATTCTCATGGCCAAAATGTAAACAACTCTGTCGAGGGATCTTTAAAGGCTTCTGGGGCAGAGTCCTAAGGGATTTTGCTTAGTTTTTCTTTTGATAACTCATCTACAGACCAAGACCTTTCTTTGGACACCTCTACCAAGTTTCTACGCCCAACCGTTCTCTCAAATTAGTGGGGACAAAGTTTCCAATCAAATATTTAGATTCCCCCATGTTAATCTTATGGGAGAAACTCCAACTTTGATGGCCTGTGGGGCAAAACCCGAGGATTTTTACTACATGAATTGGTGAAAGGGGGCGTCTACACAAAAAATACTTTATTTTGACACGTCGTTTGTAAAAATCCGTCCATTATTAACGGAGGAGTAGTGTTTTGTAGAAATCGCCTTCACGTATTATATATAAGGATAATCCAATGGATATATGTTTGTTTGTTTGTTTGTCCTTTATGGACTCCGAAACCGCTCGATAGATTGTAATGAAACTTTCAGGCATTATTAAGCACCAAGCATGGTAAGCACCATGGCATGGTGGCATTCAAGGATGGTTTTGAATGAGCATTTGACATAAAACCACATTAGGACAGGACGACGTCTGTCGGGCCAGCTAGTAAAATGTATTAAATACAGGTAACATAAAATTTCGTCATGATAGAATTTAGGGTAATTTTAAGTATCACTAGTTACAGATAAAAAGCTAGGAGACAAAATAAATCACTCTAAAAGGTTTATAAGCACACCAAATAAACGGTCTTTATTAGTAAAAATATAATGCCACAAATTCAAACTTAAACAACCGGACAACCGAGTAGAAATCTCGGAAATTTGAATATTTCTGGAACTATGGGGATGCAAGTAGTCAGAAGAACATCTTAAATATAAAAATATGGACCTAAATACAAAAATGTAGAAAAAATAAAAAATAAAAATTACTACAGCTAAAAAATAAAAGTATATTTTTTCAAAAATCCTTCCTAGTGTTTAATATATGCATACAAGTAACTTATTTCAAATATATTAAAAAATATTCTATATAAAGGTTTTCCACCAACAAGAAAAACAAAATTATTTTTTGCTTAGCTAGTGCAGAATAGCTATTAATACTAAATATGCAATTTGCTCTAAAGTTATTCTCATTGCTAAATTGAGCATCTTTCTTTCTACTCTAATTGATTATGTTATCAACAGAAATAAAATGTGCTGTGTATTTCCTAAAATTAAAAATATGCAAACCATACTTACCCTACCAATCTTACTAGAAAGTGTTTTTCACGATAAAAGATAAAGTTGTTCACATTTTTAATTCTTCACTTACACTCATACCAGTAAAAATTAACACTATGAGCTACTAGCTGGGAATTTAGAATGTGTGACCAAAGAAATACTGATATGATCATCACCAGTGGAAGATAAACGACGTATCAGTCATACATCCATCATTAAAGAGATAAGCCTGTCTGGTTTAAATACTTATCCATTAATTTTCAAGTTGATTTCCAACTAATTATAGATTGTTCAGTGTTAGTTTTTTTTTTTTTACTTGTACCTTGTATTTAGAAAGAAAGTATTGTGTTTATGTAAAATATCAGTATTTTAAAGGGAATTCTTACTAATTGTAAGCTAGCTTTTACATATGTCAAACATGTGAGAGACAATTTAAATCGGTTCACTGTGGAGTTTTAAATATTGAATTATTATTGATAGAAATTTTAGGCAGCCATCGTATAAATAGAATGTATGAAGATATGGAAACAGTTTGAAATAATCACACCAAAATTTTCAATTTTATATCTGAATACATAAAACGGTTGTTTAATCAACTTAATACAGTGCTACTGGTAGCTCTATTTGTACTTTTTCGTAACAAGTTCTAGGATCCTAACACAATAAAAATGGATGACACTGAAAAAAGTCCAAACCAAAAATTGATAGATGACATTGAATACACCAAAAACCTTTTAAAGGAGCAAAGAAAACTTGAAAGAGAGTCAGAAAGTTCCAAGTCTTGGCTACCAGACAAGTTTGACAACTCTAAACATAACCAGGGTGGAAGGTATTGGAATAAAAGGTATAAAACTCCATGGGAGGCTGGAGAAAGAAACTATGGAAATGAACGCTCAAGGAGAAAAAGCCCAAATTATAATAATTTCAGAAAGAATGATTTCAGACATCCGAATGATTTTTATGATGAGAACCGAGAAAATAAAAGACCTTACAAAGACTACGAAAACAAAACTTCTTATGGAGATGACGATAACAGACAGTTTCGTAAATCATGGAAAACTAATTCATATCAATCTAACAACTGGAAGTGGAATGACGGTAACAGGAATACGAGGTATAACGAGAATACACATTTTAATAGAAATTATACGAAATCAGATAGTTACGATAAATTTCCTAGAAGGTCTAGGGAAAACAGAGGAAGATCATATGATAAGTCATCATTTTCTAAGCATAGGGTAAAACAATGGGACCATGATAGTGAATCTGATTTTGAAGGGGCAGAATCTCAACATGATGGTTTGGAAGAGTACGAAGACAAAGAACATGCTAGAGACAAAAATAATGTTAGGTCAAACAATGACATTGAAGAAAACAAAAAAGAACCCGGTGAAACCCGTGAACAAGGAAATGAAAAAACTCAACAAGATGACAAGCTTGATAAGTTTCAAAGTTACGGAGAACCAGGTGATGAAAATAATGTAAAAAATGGGACGGTTGGGGACAGTACCCCCTCTGATAACACAGGAAGTAAAAAGCAAGTAAAATGGAAATTAGATAATGAACACGAAGAAGAACAATTTAGTGAAAATGGTGAAATTCCAAATGAGAAAACACAAGTGGAAAGAACACATACAAAGTTTGAAAATCGAAAACAAAAATTTAAATCCCAGGCCGCTAATGACATTTCGAAATGGGATAGAAGTGGTGATGATGAATTAGATGAAAATGAATTCAGAGGTAAAAGACAGTTCAAACAAAGATGGAATGATTCTAAAGAAAACCGTCCAAGCTGGAAATGGAGAGAAAGAGATCAGATTTCCCCCGGCAACCGCTATTCAAACTATAATGACAGAAGAGATTGGAAATCGAATAAATACAGAGATGAGTCAGATTTTGGTACAAATAAGGATCGAAGAGTTAAAAACTACGATCAAAAATCTCAGTACAGATCTGGATACTCAAAACTTGACGAAAATATATACAAAAACAGAGATGACATAAATCCTCGTAAAACTAGGTAAGAACAAAAAAAAACTTATTCTAAAGGGTCCTGAGTAGGGGTTTAAATTGTAAGGGAAAATATCAAGGTGAGCCATAATCACAATATTTGTGATTTTAATAATTTGTATGATACCCATTTAAAATATTAATATTATTTTTGTTATTGCTGAACATTTAATGCCAGTTATCAATTTTATTAAACCAATGTTAAAATTATTATTCAAAAGAGTGATACATAAACATAACTTTCCATTAAAAATAATTTCCACAATGCCTTCTTAAAAACCCTGCTCAGCCATAAAATAATTTAAGAAACAATAGAACATTAATTTGCACAGTATAAAATCTTTACAAAATACCAAACTAAACCATCTATTCAGTTTATAGGTAATAACCACAAACCTTTTTGAATAGTTTGGTAACACGTCACACGTACACTTTAAAAAGATAATTAAATCAATTAAATTAATGTTGTGTTTTATTCAGGCCAAGGCCAATGTCAATGGTTAAAAGACAGGAATGGAAAGCTCCTAGCACAAAATGGGGGAGTGGCGCACCATTAAAGCTTCCTGTGAAGTATATCTTCTGTCTGCCAACCTATAGAAATCGGTGTTTCAATCTGAAACAATGCACCAGAGAGCTGCTCTATCTGCATGAAAGACACACATGTACTAAAACCTGTCCAGATATTAAATACAGGTAACATAACATTTCGTCATGATAGAATTTAGTATAATATTAAGTATCAAACTTGAACAAAAATCTGAAATACCGGTGTGTTTGTTAAACACTCCTTTAAAAACGGAGGTTATATTAGTGAATAATTTTCAAAAAGTAGTTTAGTGGATTCCTGTATACAAATTTGATAGATTTATTTAGACCCTAAAGTAGGCATAGAATTGCATGAAGCTTATGGACATGGCTGACATAGTCCATGAACAGAGGGTGGTGCTTTTAATTACCTAAATGTAAAATACAGTAACATCTTAATCAAGCCAAATTCTAAGAATATTCTATTGTCAATTTAGCATATTTTATGCCACATACGCTATCAAGGGTAGTACATTTGTCATTAAAAAAAGAGGTGATTTTTCTTTTAATACTACGTACTATAGTACACACTATATACTAATACAGTACTATAATAGTGTACTTACTGCACCACGTGAACTCTATAAACTGGTTGGCCACAGCTGGGAAAAATGACATGTCTACTTTGGTATCCAAATACCTTGAGTTAAGCTTCTTGCTCTTTCTTAAACAAAATAAACTCCACTAAAACTAAAATACATAAATTTAGTGGTGTCTTTAATTTTTAGAATATTTTCGCAATTTAGTCCCATTACCAGTGATATTGGCTAATTATAAAATTCTCCTGGTAAAACTCAGGCAAGTATCTTTCAAGTAATAAACTAACGTTGCGTTATATTTAGAATAATACAAGATTCGTAGCTATTCTTGTGATAAATATTCTTTAAAAGTTAAAAATAGGCTTTACCTTCGTCACTGCAGCTCAAATTCTTGTTGGTGTAACTATGTAACTATTTGAGCTGCAGTGACGAAGGTAAAGCCTATTTTTAGTTATTATACAGCTCAGGGGCTAAAACATGGATTTTAACTTAAAAAGTTGTTTTTGGATCTTCGTTTTTTCCTCAACTCATCTACAGTTATTAATGGTGATGAACATATTTCAGTCGTTAACATGTTAAGACTTGGCCATACATTAAGTGATAAAATTTATGAATTAATCTACTTTTTTTCTGTACAGTAAATTATTTAATGTCCACCAGTTTCTTCATTGGAAACAACGGAACGGTGTATGAGTGCAGAGGGTGGGGAACTAGGCCAGGACTGCCAAAGCAGTACGAAAAAATAAACAAATCCAGTTTGTTCATCGCTTTTGCAGGGAAATACAATGGTAAGCATATTTTGCCAATACAAATTCCATCCCATTTAGTAATTATAATATAATATTACACTTCACAATTCATTATTGTAATAATGTGCACGATTATTAGAGTTCATGTCAATGATTGACATTGTTTATAAGAACGAAAATACAGAATATTTACAATAAGTATGAGGCAATTTTAATGATTTCTCGAGGATTGCGATTCAATTATAGAAAATAATTTAATTTTATAAAATGGGAATCATCTTCAAAAACTACACGAGCCTTTAAATTGGTAATCACTGTAACTAATTAAAAAAGTTACTGTTTAAATTCACTTATAAAAATAGGTATTTACCAATCAATTCATTGTTTTCTGTAACACAAAATAGTAGTTTACTCAACGATCGCAAGAGTTTTTACCACAAAATTAGAAAATTGAGAACTTCTACGAGTGTCGTAAAGTCTATTTACTTGAGTTGCGTTCACTGTCTTACCTACGACCGTTTTTTTATTACTAACAATCACTACTTGATAACTTCTAAGAAAGGTTCTATTTTCGTTTATAACTTCTCATTGTATAACTTCTCATTGCCACTGATAGTGGACGTAACGATTTATTACATTGGTCTTAACAGCTGATAAGTTGACATTAAAAATATTACAATTTTACATATTTTCTCTCAATCCTTGAACCACATTGGTCCATTAATAGTGCTGTAAAATAAACAAATTAATGCGTTAAGGTAAGCAAACAATGAGCTAGGCCTAAAGTGAATTACTATTCAATTCTAAGAACGGAATTGACAAGGGCCAGTTTAAAAAGCGGTTGAAAGTAAAATTATTTTACAGCTGTTTTTTTTACTTGCCTTTTAAATGCAGTTCTTAGAATTGAAAATATTCACTTAATAGTATTGTTTACTTACTTTACCCAGCCCGCCATGTTAAACTTCCCTATCCCAAGCGTGATGCAAGCAACGTCTTTAATTCACGAGTGAAGTAAAGTTTCAAAAACTTATTCAGTGAAGTAATGATACCCATTTAAATAACACGAGGTGTTAGCCCGTCCTACGTACGGGAATTCAGTAGTCAGTTAAAACCGTGTACAATTCAGATCGGCTAGTTTACACATATAAAGACAAAGTTTCTTGCAGTTTTAATGTGAAAAATCATCTTGTAAACAAATGTTGTGTGACCAAATATGTTTTTATTCCATCATAGGCCTATACGATATGCATTTAAAATCCGATAATTTTACAATAAAACAGCAATTCTGCAATTTTACGATGTGAAAAGCGTTGAAGTGAGATTTGCAGCCGATTCGCACAGACGCGCACTGATTATACTGTAAGTAGCCTACAGTAGAGAGAGTAATAGTCAATTGAGAAGTTTATAGACCTAGTCAACGATACCACCTTCCATAGCATACCTGCCTCTTCCATAATTATTATCACCACAATACAACTACTATACACAATTTCCAGTAGGTCTGAATAGAAACAACCTAAAATAAAACGATAATATCCAATAAAATTTCACTGCATTCATTGCTAAATAAATAAGCGTAAACAAAGAAAAGTAAAAACAATAACAGTTTGTTTTGAAACAGCTGGTTCAAATAACATTAATTTGAAAAAAAGAACTGGTCACATGTAGCAGGAATATAAAAAGTAAACACGCTAGTAAAGCTAATGACGTAATTTTCAATGTTTATTATCCATGCCGTTATGAGTTCTATCCTTGATAATTACCCACCCTCATTGAATAAATGTACATCGTAATTTCCCATATTAGTTAATTTAAACTAATATTCATGGTTGAAATAAAAGTGATATTTTCACGTTTGGGGGCGCTGATATAGGCGCCCCCAAACGTAACCACAACTGAACACGATTTCATAAAAGGATGGTTTGTCTAATCGCAGTATCCTAGGTCAATGTTGACGTTGTGTTCAATCTATGCCATCCATCTGTTTATCTTTGTATAAAACCCGGCTGAGGTTTTGGTGGTAATTTAAAATCGTGATTCCTGATTATTCTTGATCTTCTTTATATGACATCAATATTTCCGGGCCTAATCCAAACAAAGTTAAAGCAGACAAACATTAATTGTAAACAAAAAGAAGAATTAAAACATGTAAACATTGTTATTTTTCTAATCTTTCCTTGAAAAGTGTAGCAGTAAAATAATTTGCATTTATCCTTTTTTTATTAAGACTCGTGTACAGAGCCTCGATTTGTACTGTGGTTTAATTAATTTTGGTCAAAACTGTGGTTTAAACTGTGGTATAATTATCTCTACTAATCTTACTTATTTCCTATAATCAATGACAAAATAAGAGTAAATAAAATAACCTCATAGTTCCATAGTTTATATTTAACCAGCTGTTAGTTAAAACAAATTATATTGCTCTAAAACAAATCGAAGATTACAAAGATTGCTTTAAAAAATAATTTGAACATCCTAGTATTTTACTATGTGTGATTTAATTAATCTGTCATCCTCTTACAGAAGAATTGAACGTATCAATGATTAGCATTACACATAGTATAAATAAGTCAACCCTAAGTATGTCTTTACATTTTTATCCAAATGCTGAATTTGTGACACAAAAGCTGAATGTTTACAGCTGTTATGTTAAGCAAATTATTTTATGCCAAAAGCTAGTTTAGAATCTTAGCGTCGGCTGCTAGACTTTTTAAAAATTAAAACTTAATTTCTAAAAAACTGGGACCCTAAACTAAAATTATGGCTTCGACATTCCCTAGTTTTCAAAATTATCTTTCTTTCAACACAAAAATCATGAAAATCCGTCGAGTGGTTGATTCAGAATCGTGAAATAAAAAACACTGTTTCGTTTTATTATTATAGTGCTCAACTTAAAAAATATACCTCTATGGAGCCAACGACGTTCAGTGCTAGAAATCAGCTGTGCACTTGTCAAGAATCAATTTTCCTAACCTAGCTTTTGTTTATAAAAGAACGTTACTGTTAGACGATGAGTGAAATGGGTAATGCAAAATATTGTACATAACCCCCTGTATATTGTCGGGTCAGGTAAAAAATCTCGTACGTCCCACGATACGCATGAGCGTGTTTACATCACTTAGGTAAATTATGCAACTTGCTTCCGCTCGTTGCACAACATTCACCTGCGTGATGTAAAAACGCTCTTACTACACTTGGAAGGTAAATAGCCATTGTTAACACATTGTTAACACATAACAGCATTGTTGTTTTACTTTACAACACGAGTGACGGACCAATGAGGTTCAAGGGTTGAGAGAAAAGAAGTAAATTGTAGTACATTAAACGTCAACTTATCAGCTGTTAAGGACAATTTAATTGATTATACAATGAGTGAGGGGTTGGACAATGAATCGTTGCATCACAATCAGTGGCAATGAGAGGTTATAAACGAAAACATAACATCTCTTAGACGTCATGAGTAGTGATTAGGAGTAATTAAAAAACAGCCGTAGATAAACTAGTGTGCACAACTCGTGTAATTAGCTTTTAAGACAATCGTAGAAATTTTAAAGGCATTGGCCAAGGCTCATATAGATACCTTAAAAATGTTTTACTCGCGTCTTAAAGATTGTCTTTACGAGATCGATGCGTAAACTAGTATTACAATGCACAAGCCTTATCAACAAACATGTCAATATTATCATCATTTCATTAACTAACTCAATGAATCCTTTTCTTTAGAGTACAACATCCCAGACAAGATGATAAATGCAAGAGATTACGTGGTTGAGTACGGCCTCAGGCATGCACTGATAGACAAGAACTATGTCATACGAAGTGCTGTAGATCGCGCAAACATGTCCAGCTCGGAACTCGACGAAGGTCAGCGAAGTGATGACTATAGTGAGGAAGGACACGGCCAATGGGATGAGCGAAGAGATAGAATGAGTCATGACAGAAGAGACAGACGAAGTGACGAGCTAAGAGATGAACGAAGAGATGAGCGAAGAGATGGGCGAAGAGATGAACGAAGAGATGAGCGAAGATATGAGCGAAGAGATGAACGAAGAGATGAACGAAGAGATAGACGAAGAGATGAACGAAGAGATGAACGAAGAGATGAGAAAAGGGACGAGCGCAGTGATGTAAAGGATAAGCGAAAAGATAGCCATAAAGAAGAGCAAATATATAGTCAAAAGGAAAAGCACGATGAAGGGAAGAATGAAAAAGGAAATGACCTCATAGATACTCAAGATGAACAATCTGAGGGTGACAGTCACGGAAATGAGGATCAAAATGATCACGATGATCAAAAACACGATATTGATAAACGAGATGATAGTGAACGAGATAATGGGGACAAATATGATTGGGAAAAAGATGATGACTGGGAAAAAGATGATGATGGTCATCATGATGATGATGATGATAATTATCAAGATAATAAAGAAGGGGAAATCAGTGAAAACTCCGCAGGGTCAAGCTGGGCCGATGGTTTTAACAGTATTTCAACAATCTCCGGTAGCTCTGTGAAATCATTTGAATCCTACAGTTCCTCATGGGATGTAAGTTCAGGTGAACTCACTGATGGAGTCAAGATGGAGGAGATCAAGTAGAACACTTTCCAAGACTACAAGTAAAATAAATCACTATTGTATGCGTTAGATATTTTTATTCAACTAAGACTATCATAGCCTTAAGCTACTGTTTTTTCTATGGTGAAATCTTGTGAAAAATAAATGAAAAGCTTTTGATGAATAAAATAGAACTAAAGTTTGTTATGCGTTCTGTTGTTATCAGATTATTTATTAGCTGTAGTATTATGAAGAAATGCTTGTATCATAATGATGATTTCACATCTTCTGAAAGTAATTCTGTAATAGATATTACTGGAAAAATCATTATAAATTATAATTTTCTAAGAGTTCTCTGCCTTGTACATGGTTATGAGATAAAACAACACAATAATTGATGAACGAGTAGTACGCAGCACTTTTTGAAACGCCATACAAAATTACTTCAAAAAATAAATTGTTTTAAAATTGTAATAAAGTAGCTTGAATTTCTTCCAACTTAAAAGTTTAGTTTTTGTTGTGCTTAACGAAAAGTGCTTAAATAACGATAGGAGATAAGATGATACTATTTTACAAGGTCAATCATTGTAAAGGGAAGGTTCCTTTTAATTATCTTGAGGATTAAATTGACACTCCAGACATGTCTAGATATAATTCATCTCGGTTGGTTCAAACTAAGACCAAACCGTAAAATATCGATTAATATTAGACGAATATGTTCTTTAATAACTATTACTGAAACTATGTGTGTTCCTACATTTGTCTTAAACAAACTGTTTTGAAACATACCTTCACATTGACTACCATATTCTTAAAATGTATTTGGTCGTCACCAATTTATAAATAATAGTTGAGAATAAAAAATAAGTCACTTATAATCAATATTCTTAATACTAATTACTTAAGACCCATATACATATTTAAACTATACAAAATTTGGACAAATAAACCCTATGATTGCAATGAAAAATATATAATATATATAATATAGTACATTTTTCAATATATGGATTTTGTTTAAGCTACTTTGTTTAACATGTGCTATTCCTACTACAAAATACAACGATACATTTGCAGACAGATATAGATGGAGAGGGAAAGAGTACATAAACTACCAAAGAAAACAGTTTGTTAAAGTGACTTTCCAAATACAACTTCTTGAGCCGGCAAATGTTTCAGTACCTGCCTTGTCAATAGTTTATACATTCAGGTGAGGCAACAGAGAAACGACTTTTATCTCTTTGTTTCACATTACAACAAATCTATTTTTCATGATGGAAGTAGTTTTGTTACCTGACTGTTTGTATTCATATTCTTCGTAAAATTGAGAGTTTTGTTTTAGTTTTTTGTGTTCGTCCAGTTAACAAACATAATGTCATAGACATATTTGACCAGAACTCAGAACGAACGTTCAAAGAATCCGATCCACAAAAGTATTTTCAATTTTTAACAACCTAATTTGTTTCGTGATGATTCTTAAGCAGGATTTACACTAATTCCGGAAAATACTTTTAACGGGTTAAATCTCAATTTCAAACTTTGCCCAATTATGCTTAATGTGTATTTCCGTGCTTATACAAATGATGCATTTCAACCATAAGGTAAGGTTTACATTTGGGGTAACTTACAAACACCATATTTTAATTGAAAATGTGTATTTAGTTCCTGGTTATTGTGTCAGAAGTTGATCTTTTCCTAAGCTAAAAAAATTAGCTTATTTAGTTTTATTTTTTTTAGCTTATTTCGTGATATTTGTATATGTATAAATTACATTGGATGTAAAACTCGATTAAGGCTGATTCTAATTCGATTTGGCTTATAAAGTGAGATATTGTTTATTCTATTAGTATATTTTTTTAAATCGAAATCGCTGAGTATATTCCTAAATATTTATTTGTTGTTTGTTATTGGTTTTGAATAGGCATGTTCCAATGTGTTTTTGTTCAGAAAATAAATTGCTGTTATACAAAACAATTCGGAAATTAGCGTGAACGTACAGAATTCAACTGTGGGGAACATCAAGCATTTCAAAATACATATAATCCAAAAATGTCAATCAAAAGTTTTAAGATTCATCCTGCAAGCACCTTGGTATGTCAATGATAAAATTCTTCACAAGTACAGTAGAATTCCAATAGTTGAAGAGGAATAACAAATTTAGTGTAAAATACCTAAACAAATTGAAAGTCATTCTTATCACCTGGCTTTAAACCTCTTGGACAATAGTACCAACCGCTACATACAGACTGAAAAGAACTTAACTCATGTTTTAGACCACAACTCACGCTTTGTTTAAATAATTTCATTATTGTTATTTTTCCTTGAATATTTTAAAGATAGGTCTGTCAATGGATAGAGACTAACTAAAGTTCTATGAATTGTTCTTATATTTGCTAAATTTTCAAAAAAGCTGAACATATTGTAAATAAAATTTTGATAAAAGAATGCGTTGTTATACTTCATAAGCTGTAAATTGTTACTTGATGTAGAATATTGAAATGTTGACATTATAATAGGACTGATGGGTTAAATATTGATTTTCATTTTGTATCCTTCGATTAATTAACTACCCTTCACACTTGCTTGCCATTGGTTTCTTTGTTAAATACTGGCTTCACCAAGCAACATGAAACAAGGCCTTGTCAAGAGTTTTGGGAATATTTACTCCATCCTATTTTGAATTTGAGCAATGTTAGAAAAGTTTTAATCCTCCCCCCTCCCAACTCTGCCAAGACATTAAGAATATAAATTACTGTAGAATACATTACTACGGGCTAGTTAGGCTTAACTACGTTCACAAATAGGTTTACCTTATTATGATACATTATGTCTTGAAACCAATATTTATAAGCTAGGTAACTGTTTTGGTTTTAGTTACAATAGGCTTATTCTTAGGAGCTATTTCATCATTCCGTAAAGCTTGATTTCATCGAATAAATTTATGTTTTTGCCTAGAATTGTTTTTGTTAACCTTGTTAATAGATAAATAATATTTGGTTTTGAACGTTGCTAAAATATTTTAATGCAATATGTGACCAATAATACTAAACATATATCACCAATGATCAATTATAATGTATAAAGTATAATGTTTTCAGACTTGGAGAACCGATGTTTCTTTTTTGCCTTCTTGAAGTAAAAATTGAAAAAAAAATTTCAGGACCAAAAACTAGTTCTGGGCAATATTAAAATCCTTTCAAAGGAAACAATAAACAATATTGATTCCGAGACAGCATCAGTTTTTAAAAAGAAAGTTTTAAAGAAGTAAATTGCAGCTCACAACTTTTCACAACTTCTAGAAGTTCCTTATCTTGGGATGTTTCTTTAGTGAAACAGACCAACTTGAGGTTTCTTTCTCAGGGTTGATTTATGTTTGCGGAACCAATTGTTAATCTTAAGTAGAGGAAAAAATATTTTGGAAGGCGTTGGTACAAATACATTAAAATTAATTTTCATCAATTTTTGTGTTTAGTTATTGAATTTAAACAGAAAAACATTAGGCTTACTGAATTTGTATGTAAAATAATACTACTCTTAATCGATTATTTAATAACGAGCCATGTTTTTGTAAACGAAATATAAAAAGTAAAGCCTTATTATACTAGTAAACCGTGTGTGTTTATAACAAATCTTCCACTTAAATTTACATTTAAGTAATTGTACAATATAAAAATAATATTCCAACATGATAATATATAAATAAAACAAATAATTCCCCATTACAATCCCCAGTCATAGTTTAAAGCAGCGAACGTCCGATATTTAAATGTTCTTAGTATCCTAAATACCAAATAATTTTGTTAATAATATACATATAACTGTAGAGTGTTTAAAAGTTTAAAAATATTTTTTTTTGGGAAAATATTCATAAACTATTATACATATCATTGTAAAAAAAGAAATGCCTAGACAAAGTAATTGTTGGAAGGATGTTTAACATTACAAAATTACTAATTTTAGTTAGGAACTCAATCTACACGTATTTTAGGGGAAATTATAATGTAATCTTCAAATTAGGTATCATGCTGCATTTGCGTTTCTTTGTGTTAAGAAAACCTTTTTATAGTTATTTTGATATTCATCGTCAAGGTAAGAAAAAAAAACACAAAAAATATAATTAAATGACTATATATTTAATTGAAATCTATGGGATATCTCAAAATTAAAACGTTTTGAGTGCCAAATAGTATGCACTTAATAACTCATCTACATATCTACATAGTGTAAAATAATTTCATGAAAATCGGAATTAAAAAAGGTTTTTAAATTTCAGGAATAATTGTTTAAATCTGTTTAAAGACTTAAAATTAAATATAGAGTAAGGTTATACGTTTCATCTCCCCAAGCTTTACACAACTTTTATGTAAGTTGAAAACCTACGATGTAATTTACTTTAAAAATAAATTTTCAGGCCCAATACTAAAATACCCCCGCCGCAGCAAACCTGCAGACTAAGCGAATTTCCATTTCCCTGAATGGATTTACACTAAAATGTCTCCTTAAAATTATCACATTTATTCCCTATTTAAATAGAATCAGTTTGAAACATACTTAGGTTTGCTGCAACAGGGAGGGTAAAAGTGTTTTTTATGTAAAATGTTAATAGTTAGTAAGAAATAAAAACGTTTTCCAAATTTGGGCAAAATATGTTTATAAACAAGCAAACTACAACAGTTTACTTATTATCCATAAGAATAACATGGGAATTTTAAATTTACAATTTTTTGGAATTTTCTCCGTAACCATTAGGCGCATTATAACGCTTCAATATACTAAATTATTTGTTTTTTTAAGCTCTACAAAATAGTTTCAAAAGAAATTGCAAAATTTTATGTTTTTTGGGTCAAAAATGGGAAAAACCCATTTTTACCCCATAAAAGCCCCCATAAACCCCCGTTCCCATGGTCCGATCATGCTGGTTCGCGAACTCGTTCGAATAAACGTAGGTTTACACGTTTGTACCAAATTTCATCAAAATCGGATCATTTTTGCTCGAGTTATCGCGCTAACGGACATATATATATATATATACTAGCTGACCCGGCGAACTTCGTATCGCCTAAGTTTTAGGTTTCCCCTAAGACAGACCGATGGAAAGAAAGTACCGTTACGTTTAATTTTCAAGATGATCTCGTTCGCATCGCTCAATCACGTCCTGGTTGAAGT